TGAAAACAATGTAAACTCTTTTTTTTTAATTAAAATTTATTATGAACAAAATTATTTTTTTAAATTAAATGATGTAGTCTTAGTAATACTCAATTATAATTGGTATGGATTATTGTAGCAGTTTTATTTTATAATATCAAAATGTTGTATATATTTATTAATATAATCTTCTAATATCTTAAAATAAAATGGAAAACTTATTAACGAGCTGTTCCACCATTTATTTTTTGAGCTTGATTAGAAAGAAACGCTAAAAGGCAAATAATTCCGAGATATATATTTTTAAAATTACGATTGAGGTTTTTTTATTTGTTTATTTTATATTAAATAACTTGTGTTGCAAAGATTTCATCAAAAAATTTAATTTAAACTTTTAAACTTAAATCCCGATAAATTTTAGTAATAAAGAATATTTCTGTTTATTCTTACCAAATTGCTAATAATTTATCTTACCCTTCATCTTTATTCTGTAGTAATCTTTAAATAATTTAATATGGTGCTAATCTACCATCTCTCCTTTAAACTAGGTATTATTCTTAATGTTTAAAATATAAACCACAACCATATTTTTAGACTTTTGTTAATTATTTATCCTTAATTTTTTTATATAGTTAATTAAATGCAGAATCTAATTTTTCTTAGTATTCAATGATCAATATCTATTTGTTCTATCTCAATTACTTAGTTAATCTTTCAATATCTTAGAAATAATCCGATCATCTATTCTTCTAATTATCTTTTTTTTCAACAACTGGTTCAATTTTTGAGTATTTTAATCTCCCTTCATTCAATTCATTTGTTCTTCAATCCAGCAATTATCTTAATCTAGCCATATTGTAAATGAAATTAATCAATTATACTATATCATCTACATGAATTTATAATTTCTTTTCTAATTCTCTTAATAAAGATTCTAAATTCTTAAATTTATTGATTTCATTTACCATAGAATTATCTACATATTCAATTTATCATTTTTCACTAATTTCTAATTCAAGAATTCGTTTAATCTTTAAATTTCTTTTGTTAATTCTTTAAGTATATTTTATAATTCTTAAATCTTAAATTCATTGATTTAGATTATAAAAAATGTAATTCTTATTATAGAACTTTTTTCTTAAGATCATGAATTAATAATGTTAACTCATTGATTCTAGCAATTATTTATTTATTTTATAATTCAACTCTTTAAGATCACTTAGAAGATAATCTAATAATGCATATTGACTTTACAATTCTAATAATTATTATTTAAAATGTTTATCATAGATTCCATGATTTATTTATCTACTTGGAATTAATTTAATTGATCTCTAAGATCAAGCAATATTTTCTTTTACATAATTCAATCATTACATTCCATAATTTATTCATTTAATTAATTAATTTAATCTTCATATCCCTTAAGTTAATAATTGGCTTATTATAATTAGTATTTCATTATATCTTATTCATTTTTCTTATTTCTCAATTCATTTTATAATTTTTCATTTTTTTCATTAAATTATTTTATTAGATTATAAATCTTATAATTAATTATTTAAGGTAAAATTAGCTTATTCTAATCTCTATAGTTTATCTTTCAATACATCTTATCTCTTAATTATGTAGCTTATCTATCAAAATCAGATTATAATTATGAAAGTCTATTTTATAAATTGGTGATTTAAATTCACTTACTGATTAGAGGCTTCAGAGATTGTTAAATTATCCTTCAAATCTTAACAAATTTATTTTTCCAATCATTTAAATTTCTATCACTATTTTAGTGTGTGTTTGTTACATCATTAATTTTAGATTCATATTATTATTTCATCGTATCATCTCATTCTATAATTTAATTAAATTATTCTATATCAATCTTTTAATTTCTTTCTTATAATAATTTATCAGTATCACTTTTATATGTATTAATTTAACTTTCACATTCTACTATTTTAGTTTCATATTATCTCAATAGAAATTATAATTATTCATAATTATTATCTTAATTCTTTTTATAATCATCAAACTCTTTTTATTTTAAGCAAATACAGTAGAAATATCTCGTTGTTTATATATATTTTAATGAAATTATTTGCATCAAAAAAAGCCATTTCATCTATTTTTTCCATGCAATTTTAACTCCTCTCCATTACTTATATAAATGACTGATCATCTGCAATAAATAATTCATTCTTCTAATTTTATTATCTAAATTCGTGTTTTTTATCTTCCTCTTATCATTAAGTAATATCCTATATTATTTCTAATGGCTCTTCATCTTTCATCTTGTCTTTTACATCCATCTGTCACCATAAGATTAATTATCATGTATATTTGAAAATAATGAATATATATACAACATTTGATGATATAAGTTCAAATTTAAATAGGCTGAATCAGATATTTTAATCTAACATTGAAAATAAAGTACCATCTTTCAACTCAAAGATCCTAATATTTGATGAAAAATATTTGTTGATAAAATGGAACATAATGATAAAGGTTTGTTGATTTTATTAACACTGCCATTGAAATGCATTATTTAAAATGCTTATCATAATAATCAAAATAAATAAATTAGGAATCTATAGAATTAAATTTTGTAAGAATGTTGAATAGTATATGTAAATATTATTGAAGATGTATTTTCAAATTAATCTAACAATAGTTTAAAGATATTATAAATTTCGAATTTATTTTTTAATTTGATTAAAAGGGTACTTTATTAAAATATTTACCGAAGGAAATGTCATTTAAAGTGTTTTTGGGAGAGCATCATAAAGAGGCTTCCTTGAATTGCTCACTGTTAAAGCTATTTAAACATCAACAAAATTTTGTTAATAGTTCTACTATTGCACATTAAATTTAATTAACTGTTACAGAATATATTGATTAAATTGCTACCATTTTCAATTATTTTAAAAATGTTGTACAATAAGTTATTAAAAGTGTCGATTTACTTCTTAGAAAGAATTTCATCACTCAATTAAAATTGGTTTCTAAATATCACATCGCAGAACCTGAAAAAGAATCCATTCAAAATTATATGTATGAATATTATGGAGTAACTGCACCTTTTATCATCCTATGTAAAATAATTTTGCTTGCGAAGAAACATAACCAGGTTAAGATTATTGCATTCATAAATTAATAATTGGAACATAAACAGGAGACAATGAGATTAAATCTTTAATGATTATTAAAGTATAAAAAATTAAATATATTTAAGGTTAGATTGCCAATAGATCCAGATGTTATAAGATCCTTCAAGAAAATAAATAGAATTATCCAAGTGGTATTGGTAAAGCTACTAAAGAGAGTAGAATAGAAATTTATTTAAGAATAAACCATGAGGGAGAAGTAAATAGAGCAAGATATACTCATAAAATTAAAAATAATTGCTACTTTACATCAAAAAGGAGAAATTCATATATTTGATTTTATAAATTTGTTCTTCATAACCAACTAACAATTAAATCATATCTGATTAATAGGAAGACACTAAAAGGAAAGATATAAAGATTAGATAATGGCATAGATTTCATCCAGAAATATTTGATTAAACATGTGAGAATGTAATAAAATATCTTGTATATATAGTCGGGATACAAGTAAACTACATATATTCTACACTTTTTTAGGAAGTTTAAAATGCCAAAAGGCGAATTTACTTCTTATTAACAGAAATGAACTCATTTATCCTTCTTATATTCTATCCTCTAAGTTCAAATATTTAGTTGATATGAAATGAGCTGCTTATAAGGTGATAGATTATAGAATTTTAAACAATATGATTATGATGTTTTGAATATTTAATGAGAATCATAATTGAGGATTTAATTAGTTATTCATAAGCAGAACTTTGTTCATCTTTTTATTCTTTCAAAGTCAATTATTAGAATGAAAAATCGGCTTACAATATTCTTATTCATATACCTGTTTCCATTTTGATGATAACTCTAATTTTTTCGTCATCTGAATCAAAATCTAATTTGCCTTAAAGTTATTTCGAAACACTGAAATTTTGCAATCGCTGCACTACAAATAATTGTCTTTCTAGCTATTTCTTATATAGGAATATTTTCAGGACTATAGTTGTTCCAATTATTACTACAATTACAAGATATTTTTGTTTTGGTAAAAATTTTATGAGATGACTTGGCTATAATTGTCCAAGATTACATTTTCTATACTCATCTTGAACGTATACAAATATATATTGTCTATCTACTTGCTCAATTGATATACATAGGTTAAATTTATTCATGTAGTTATCATAAAATTGTATAAAATAACAGAAGTTTATTTACAATCCTAAATAATTGATTATAAAAATCTATGACTTCATATTACATAGATGCAACCAACAAAATTATGGAGAAGAGATGAGGAAACGCGCATCAATATAATCCATATTTTGTATTACTTAAACCTGAGTTTTTTTTATAGATTTTCTATTAATTAGCTTCCAATATTAATCTATCCATAATTAATGTAATTTTCCCTCTGAAAACCTCTCCTTAATTTTGATTGTCTCCTCTATATTAGTGAAAGTTTATAACATCAATTACTTGGCAGCATTTTTATTCTCAGAATCAATAGAATTAATTATGTCTTTGTAGTATAAATTTATACCTCTTGAGGAACTATCAAATGATAACATAATTAAATTTATTCAATTTAATTTTCTAAAAATTTCTAAGACCTTTACAATTTGGAAATAAAAAATTCTCATTTTAAATGGCTATATGAAGTGTTATAATGGAATGAGAAACTTTGAATAATATAAATTGATAATTATGGAAAATATGTTTGGTAAAAAAGAGATGATTGATACAGAAATTGATTTCCTAATACATGATAGATATTTATCGATGATTTATTATGCGAGATAGTTAGTTCATACGTTGGAGGAGAATTTGGCAAGTTTTTTGATTCAATAAATATGATAATCTTTGAGGGGACGCAAATCTTAGACTCTGCTCTCCTAATGCAAATAAAGAAAAGAATAAAAAAATAAATTAGTATTTAATTTTATTAAGAAGGCGTCTTACGAGTAATAAAATCCTTTTTGCATCATAATTGTTTTATATGAATTGACTTATTTATGAGCACCAAATGTTGAGTGTATATAAATAATCATATTCACTAGCAAATAAGCGTTATTAGTGGATTAAATGGTGGATAACATTGCTTAACAAAATGAAATTGCAAAAAAAAAATGAATAATATGAAACAAATTACAAGGAAATTTAAGATGTTGCTTTAGAATAACTTATATAAATTTAAGTTGAATTAATTTAACCTAAAAAGATACCAGAAACTAAAGAAAGAAGACTTTAAATGATTATTTTAAATTAAAAATTATACCTTATCAATTAAAGATTTGAAAAAGACAATAATGGCTCAATATTTAAAAAAAAAAAAAGAAGAGAAAAAAATTTGGAAAAGGATAAAAATATGTTAAAGGAGAATTGTTAGGAAACAGATAAAAAGCATATAAAAAAGCAGTATCTTTTGAATTAACCAGATTAACTGATATAATCTCTATATGGAATAAAATGATTGAAAAATTAGAAAAAATTAATGAATTTTAAAGACAAATTGATATATTAGATATTTAAAATTTAAGTTACCTAAATATACACTTGAGATGAAGCTGATCCCAATTTATAAGATTTATCCTGAAATCCCAAATGTGTTTAATCACATACAGAGAACTTATAGAGAAAAATTAAAAGTGATATTGGTCAGAATTTAGTAGGATTTGTTCCAGGAATGGGAATTCAGATCAATTTAATTCAGGTTGTGGAATTGGCAAAAAACAAAGCACCTTATAAATAAATGTTTTTTTTTGGCTTATTTCATGCTTACAACTCTGTAAATAATAATAAAAGGAAATGGACGGGTATAGTATCAGCTTGATTTCCATAGACTCTAAATGATTAAATTTATTTTAGGGATTAACAGAAAAAAAAAAGAATTTATCTAAAACATGGACTACATTAAGGGTCATTAATTGCATCTATGCTTTTTAATCTGTACTAAAATGACCTCCTAATAGGTTATAATTGCACTCTCTCTTTATGCAAAAAGTAAAAAAAAATTGCCAAATAGTTATAATAGACAAAAACTTTGACATATGCAGATATTATGAAACCCAAAAAACAATTTATTTCTTAAAAAATTAAGGGGTCAATCTTAATTATTAAAGTTTTAACAAAAATCACCAATTTAAGGAAGAGTTTTGAGTGAAAATGCGAAACAATTAAATATTTGGAATCATAAAGAGTTTTATATATAAAATACTCCCTTTTAATAAATTTAACTCGTCAAATATATAATAAATTAATCATTTTCATATCTAGCATTCATACAATAATCCACAATAACATAATCAATATAGAAATTTCAAATGGAGAATTAAATATAAATTGATGTAGAATAACTTAAAATACAATATAAATTCCCAAAGAAGTTTATTCAATTTTAAATTCAAGCAATTCTTTTGAACTTTTACCTAAGATATGTCTATTATTTCTAAAAATAATTAATATTGATTTGCTAGTGTAAAAACATTTGTATCTAAAATTTTTGAAACAAAGAAACTTTTAGATCCTAAAATTATAAAAATAATAATCTAAAAATTTTCGAATCTAAACAATTAATATTTATCAAAAAAATAAAAAATAATTTATTTTTGTAATATATTATTCAAATAATATTCCTACAAAATGGATATTTAGACTGAGAATCTTCAGAGAGATTTACAATCACCTTATTTCAAACAAGCAATTTAAGAGCATGAAATTGAGAAATGGGATGATTGTAATTGTTAAATCTCTAAAAAAACAGTTCAAATTACTTTTACTTAAAATCAATAAATTTTATATTTATAAGATGGAGCTATTCTTAGAAAGTATAATTGACATATAACCAAAAAAGAGAATAAATACATGATACCAATAATTTAGAACTATTTAGTAATATAGATCAAATCGAAAATGTTTTTTGGAAAGGTTAGAATGGATTAAACAAAGACAAAATTGGTAAATGGATCGTTTCTTGGTATGGAGAGGTTTTAGTGTCAGTTGGTGGATACTATGAGGTTGGGTAAAAACATGGATTGTGGAAAGAAATGATTCAAAAATTTTAGATGTAATTAAAAGAATTTTATTATAATAAAAATATAGTTATGCTCAAGTTTTTTAAGTTGGAGAATATTAACATGATTTGAGAAGAGGCTAATGGAATATTATTTACCATAATAAAAAAATGTAATTTATAAAAATTATTTAGTGGTAATGGAAGATATAATGAGATAGGCTAAAAAATTGGTAAATGGATAGAGTTATCAGATTCTTTTTTTGATTATTCTTAAGTCACATATAATGGAGAATACAATATTAAGGGTAGGAAGATAGGAAAATGGGATACTATGTATTGCCGAAATTTTGAGAAATATTATAAATAAATGTAAATGTAAAAGCATTTTTATTTTAGTGGTGGTGGTATATATATACAAAAATAAGATGGTAATTCTGGGAAGTATAAGATGTGGATAGAATTATGGGAAGGCTTCAATGATCATGCCTAAGTCATTTATATAGGAGAATATAATATAAAATCTATGAAGGTAGGTTAATGGGATATTAAGTATTACCAGAAATATGATAATTAATATAGAAAAATGTAAATATTTTTAGAATTTCAAACTTAGTGGGGGAGGAATATATATGGAATACTAAGATAATTCTTCTGGGAAGATTGGCAATTGGTTAGATTTATGGGAGGGCTTCAAAAGCACTGCTTAAATTATTTATAATGGGGATTATAACTAATAGGGTAAGAAAATAGGAAGATGGAATATTTTGCTTTTGGATAAATTTGATTACAATAGCAATACATAAATGTAAATAATAATAATAGATATATTAGTGGTGGTGGATATTATGAGGAGTAATAAAATGGTACTTCTGTGAAAATGGGCATATGGATAGAATTATGGGAAGGATTCAAAGATAATGCCTAAGTCACTTATGTCGGAGAATATAATGTTAAAGGTGTGAAAATGGGAAGATGGAATATTTGGCATTAGGAAAAGTATGGAGATGATAAAAATAATTAAATGTAAATAATATAAAAGATATAGCAAGTGGTGGTGGATAATATGAAGAGCAATAAGATGGTATTTGTGTAAAGGTTGGGATGTGGGTAGAGGTATGGGAGGGCTTCAACGATAATGCCTAAGTCACTTATAGTGGTCAATATAATTTAAATGGTGTGAAGATAGGTTAATGGGAAATTATGTATAGAAAGAATGAAGACGAACCATTTAAAAAAATGTAAATATTATAAATATATCATAGTGGAGGTGGATAATATTATTAGTAACGAAAAGATTTTTCAATTAAAACTGGAAGATGGATTGAGATGGGAGATTATTGGTGGCAAACTTATAATGGTAATTATAACGAATAGGGAATTAAAATAGGGATTTGGAAAGCAATGGATATAAGTGAGAATAAGAAATTTGATGAAATCATATACAATGATTGAAAATTTATATATATAAACAGATAAATTGTTTTGAATTATTATTTCGTTAAATTATTAGCTAAAAATTAAATTTGTTCAGTATTTTTTGAATTAATGACCTACTTTTTTTATTCAGTATCATTATGATAGATTTAAAAATAATTTTATTTTATTTAATGTTATTAATAATATATTCATTTTTACATGGGTATTTTTTCATTTATAAAATACATCATCCAATTTCTTAATTAAGTTCTAGTTCATTAATATATAATATTTATTTAGTTCTTTTCTTTTTATTCAAAAAAATATACAAGGTCAACAGAAGACATAATAAACAACAATTTAATTGAATTTTATCATTTGAAGGCTCTATTTGATGATCAGTTGATATCTTTAAAATAAATATAACTTTGATTTCAATGCTAAAAATTATATATTAAAAATTTTTTTATTTATTTGAATTCTAAATAGTTTGCTATAAATTCCAGAAGTTTAATCAAGATTTTCTTTATTAATTTATAGTTCATATTCTCCATTAATTGTAAATAAGTTTGAATTGAGTAAATTAGAATAAAAAGATTTAGAATTTAGTTATTGAAATTTTGTAATAGTGGAATTAAATTAAAAAGCTAGATAATAATTAATTAGATAATGATCATCTATTTGATATATTCAAGTAGAGTTTAAAAATGACACTATTAAATAATTTTTGTCTTAATAAAAAATAGAAGAAAATGTTTCATTAATTGGATAAAAAGTATTACCTACTTATTCTAATTTTATTATTCCCTATTAAAAAAAAAGCAAAAAACATAACTATAAAATTAAGCCTCTCATGTAAAATGTGACTAATTTTTAATTTCCAGAATAGATTTCTATGTAGTCATCAATTTACACTTTGGTTATTATGATTAGATTATTCTAGATATTAAAATAAGCAATAATGAAAGACTATTATATGAAACATTTTGAAATTCATTATATATTTAAAGGTAATGATAATTATCATTATAAAGACAAAGTTTATTTGTTCTTGACTAACAAAAATTACTTTAATTAAATACAATAATATTAGGTGGAGTTAATAATGCATTCTGTTAATTTAATAGTTTTATATTTTCAATAGGACCAATTATAAAATCCATGACTTTCAAAACAATTTATTAACCAAATTTATACACTACACTCTTAGTATGATTTTCAATTAATTGAGGATATTGAATATTTGAATCAATTTCTAACTCCAATGTAAGATTACCGAAAATTTAAGTTTAATTTTCAACAAATTCAATCTATATCTTGAATGTCTGTTTAATTGATTAGTTTCTAAACTATCTATTTAATTTAAAGTAGTATAATTACAAAGGTAAATATTCTACTTCATACTTGGTTGGAACATATACTATTGCATAATCATCTAAAATATAATTTATATTTGAGATTTTAGTTATTCTAGATAAATCAAGCATTAGGTTATCTTACAAGATAAAAGTCAATAGATAGAGTTATTCATTTAATGTACAAATAATTGGTATGATTTAATGTACAAATAATTGGTATGATATTTTTATAAATTTTATAGACTATTGGTCTCTTAATCTTAAAATTGAATAAAGGAAATTCTGATATTTCAACTAAATCATCATATTGCAATTCAGATGTATAAAATATATTTAAAAATTTATGTACCCAAATGTAGATCATTTTATCATTACTGAACATAAACAAAAATAACTTTGATCTATTTTTAAAATGGTGAAATGCTTTAATAGTTTGTAATTAGAACTTTATCTTATTCATAAAATATTAAAGATTTTTAGTCAATACTATCTAAAATATTTAATATTTAGCACTAATCACTTTCATCTGGAATGAAAAAACATTTTGTACTTATAAATTTCATATTTTAATCAAATGTGGTTATTGTACAATTTTTATGATATGCTACCAAATATTCACCTGCTAGGCTAATTTTAATTATGTAATTTGTTAATTTCACCTAACCTTGATATTCAAATTTCTAATAAACATTATTATATCAACTTATTATATGAATTTTTTATTATTTTCTAGAGATTAGATGAATTACTAAGCTTTGATTAATTTAACTTTATGCCAATATTTTATTGTTTAAAATTTTCAAAATACTCAATGAAATAATTTATTGATTTAAATGAAAAGTTATTTAAGATTGATTTTGACTATATTATAATATTTGATTTAGAAGTAATAGATACCATAATGGTAGCCATAATAAAAAACAAAATCTTCAGCATCAGCTTCTAATATAAGAGTTTCACATAATAAACTTATTATTAATCTAGTCCTATTGGCCAATTAAAATCAATAGAAAAATTATATTTTCAAGCCCTTTTCTTCAATTAATATAAATAAAATATTTATAAATATTATATTTTTTTAAAATATTGTGTAATAATCCACTATATTTTTTTTTTG